TTATATGTGCACATAAGTACATATATACATATGTAGTTATCATCTAAACTTTTAAAATGAATCTGAAGCACATTAAAGAACCGTCTTTAGCTCATCGATTATCGGCCCCAGTACAACCATTTTTACTCAATTTATATAACAATCTATTTGAAAAAAAGAAACGTTATGAAACATAGATAACACACACATACGCATATTCATTTTACTTCAACTAATCTACCCCATTTAAAGAACACAAATTTTCTTAGCCCTCTTCCAAAATATTTTGCGAAATTCCTTAAAAATTGAATCACAAGTAAGGGGAATAAATTAACGAAGGAAAAACATACATAAAAGAGTCTTCCATTTTGCCCAGTTTGTACTGAAATATTTCTACATCTTAGCCATTAAATTCACCGCCTTCGCTTTTGATGTTGTTGTCTTCTAACTGTATTACATAAGTCTATATAAACGAGCATTAGGGTGTAAAGTTTCGCTTTTCTGTTTTTGCACTTTTCACAATTTCGTATTGAATTTTGGAATAAGAATTAAAAAAATATATATTAAATAATTTAAAAATTAGTCCACAAAAACATATAACTTTTTTAATCCAAAAGGCACATAATCGAAATGACAAAATATAAAAAACTCTATAAATGAGAATAATTCTTATGTGCTGGACTTTGGATCTTTAAAAGTTCCATTAATGAAAAACAACAACCTATGTAAGTAACAGTCTTCATTCTCACCCTGACCGCTATAACTGAGATCTATCTTACCTGTATCTTTATAAGCGAAAATTTAATCGAAAATCACTTGTTTTTGCTTGCGAGGCTAATGAGCTAGCAAGAACGGGTACAATCCCAGCCCCCACGATGTGAGCATACCTCTTTCCTTAGCAAAATACCTGCTAAGATCGTTGCTGGTCGAGACCGATAGCAGATGGCAGAGTTCAAACTCATGCAATTTGACCAGGCAGATTGAACCATTGAACGATACTCCTTTTAAACAGAAGCATAACATGCGGCATAATTATAGGACAATGTTTGTTGGGGACTCAGGGTAGAAGGATGGCCTACTTTTCTTATGACTTCTGCAGCGGGTGCAGAGACATAGACGTGGACATATCGGTAGAGCACTATGTTTGCCAGAGCTCGTTATCATTTCATAGGTAATTTCTACTTCGACTGCCTTACAGATATAGTGTTAGCAAGTGTCAATAATCTCGGGGGTCTCATAAAACAAACTAAGTAGTTTTAGCATTTAAGAAGGTAAAAGGAATCTTTTTCATGGGACCCCCATAGGTATCACAAATAACTAACTATTGTAATTAACTAACTAACTATGGTAGATTTCATTTTTGACAGAGTAAAAATCATTCCATAGCTACGCTATTGCAGGTCAAAACAATAAATATTATACATATAATATTGTTTAACATATATTAATTAATTTAGTTAACAGAATTTAACAAAAAAAGTTCATTTTATATACATATTCAAAGATTATTTCATATTTTAATTGAAAAAGTCAAACAGAAGCCAGCCGATTTCGATGGTTACCGAAACTCGAATTATGAATTTCGAATTAATGTGATGAACTATGCAGCCCTGTTTTTTTTGAATATCATAAATTGCTGACATTTATAAAAAACCAAACCGAGGTTGCACTGGGTTATTAGGATGTAGTTTTAAAATAAAAAAAATCTTGAGGAGAGTATATATTTTCAAGATTTCAATAATAAAAGATAAAAATTGGTGAAAATGTCCCCATATGTAGTATATATTTAATTTTAATATTGATTTGTTATTTAATTAATGCAGTTAGGTACAACTGCGGTCAAAATCTGATTCTGAGATAAAGTTTAAAAAGCATTTTGATCAAGAAAAGTCAAAACCTTCTTAAAATAAATTAGTTGTATAACAAGTATTAAATTTTATATGAAGATAGTATTTTGTGGAGCATTTTTATTGGCTATACCAGCATCCAGGTTTTTATATTTTTCAACTAGTATAACAACATACCATGCTTGTTCAGCTGAACACGTCAAAGATCGTTGTTATTTGCTTTGAATAGCAATCTGCCTGTTTAATGAAGAAGTTCTCAATTTGTTTGAGGTCCGCAGGTTATGTTGACCAAACGATCTCCTTTACATTATTTGCCAGAAACCACTGTTTCACTAATTAATTGTTTTTGGGTAGACCGACCTTATTGCCATCTCTTCTTTGGCAAAAGTCAACATGCAAATATTTTAACATATTTTTGACTATCCCTACGCGGTATTTAAAGCCGATATCTTAATATGAACGGCAACACCCTAATCTCTATTTACCGGATCCCTCATACTTAACGGGGCTCTCACCAAACGTATTGTTTTTTTTCGTTAGGCTATTCCAAATATTATTACGCGAAGTTCAATATGTGAATAATGTGACACTTTTTCTTTAACGGCACTTTTCCTGAATTTCCGCCACACGAATTACTTTGTTTTAACTTTCTCCTAATAACTTCCGCGTATCCTTTATTCTTAATTCAGCCTTCAGCTCCTCAGTATTTGGCCGAGGATTATTTTAACTATGTTGAGTCCAGACACACTTCGTTAAGTCATAGCGGACTTCCTTCGGCAAGTTTCGTTTTCGTTCTTAAATTTCAACGCCTTTGAAATCATTTAAGCTGAACAGCGGATCATATTTTGAGCTATTTTGTAAGTTCTATCTTCTAAAAAAGATTTTTCGATTAATTCCTCACGTCCTATTATTTTTATACTATTTTTCATGTTTAAAAATTAGGATTCTTAAAATGACTTTTACATGCCTATTCTCACTGTTACCGGTAAAGTAAATTTTGTTACTTTTTTAACACCCGAAATTGAATTTGGTATTCTGGCGCACAGGTTACATTGTTTGACAAAACTTTGGCAGCACTGATTTTTCCATCTTGTCAAATTACATTTTGCCAGTTGATAAAGTGAAAATATGAATATCCATTCGTTGTTCGGAATCAAAGTTTCCCGACTTTCACTTTGAAAATCAAATTTGGAATATAGTGCAGTGATCGCGAAACAGAAGTTTGGCTCATAGCAGTTAGACAATTGCTCCCTACGCATTCTGATACGATCCGTGGGAAAAGGAATATGTATATTGTTGAGAAAACTCTCAAAAAATTAAATTAAAATGTCTAAAACAGAATTGACTTAAAAATTATATATGAAAATTAACATCTAATTCGTTTGCTTTTGCTTTGTTGCTTTGTACAGGCAAAAATGCTGAATGACAACGCTATCTTCCAAATTAAATGAGTATTTTTTTCTTGCAAACTTCTTAACATGCTTTCTTCATCTTCATTGAATTCCAGACGTAAAATATGTATTTACATTTTATTTTAATTTTTCCTCAAATTAACAAAACAAAATCAAACAGCAGATTGTTTGTTACCTCCTATTTCACAGGTAACAAAACCTCAAAATACGAAATAGTAACAAAATTTACTGAATGGTAAATTTTTTTACCAAAGTAAATTTTATTGTCTCAGCACGACACTTAACACCTCTTCACATATCCCCTTAAGCCGACACATCTAACCCCCTCTCCCTCCAATTCCGTCGAAACAGCAAGTTTCCTAGACCTCCCGTTAGATGACCTCGGCGACTTAGTTTAATTAACCTCTCGCTAAGCGGGGTAAACGTAGCCGCTACAATGACATCAACAACAACAGCAGAGCCGGTCTCAAAATCTAAAGAAAAATTCAATGAGTTGTGATTAATGGCAAAAACAATAAACACAGCAATCGTTATTTCTGTGTCCACACATTTTTCTCCGGTAAAATTGGAGTCTCACGGCAAGCCGATTAAGCAATACAGCAGGGCCAGAAACAGATAGAGATATATACTAATTATGTACATATATACATACTAACAAAGCACACGTCAAAAAATAGTAGAGAAAAATCACTTGAGTTTTTATAAATCGCCAATTATATCTTACACTATCGAAAGCTATACGTTTGCGTTTACTATACACGTACACTGCGTACACTCTTTCCCCAAGTCAGACATACATATACATTTTTATATACTTAAATATGCATTTGTACATAATCAGAGATTAAATGTGTGATAGGCTTTTAAAAGCGTATTATCGCATCATCAAATAACAAATGAATGAGATGTCATCATCTTTCAGTTCTTATTGAAAAGCGGTAAAGGCAACGCTGAACACAGCAAGGATTTGACGCATTAACCACCGCCTCATTAGTGAGCGTAAACCATATTTTATTGCAAATGTTCAAATATTTTTGGTTGTGGCATGTGTCAGCACAAATTGAGCAGCAACCCCCACAATTTGACAAACACTGCTTGTCCAACCGCCTGCCCGCCCGCCCGCCTGCTCAAAACATCTCATTTGCTTGCTATTTGAGGAGGTGTAAACTGCACTGCACTTTTCCGTCTACATCTGTCTTGAAATATTTACGAGCATAAAACAAGTCAAAATAACCTAACATACTACGAGACGCACTGGTGACAAGTGTTACACTTACTCGAGAGAGCTGGCCTACATGTGGGTAGGGGTGTGTGTGTGTTTTCCGAATAACACCACCCATCGAATTTCGCTTCGCCTATATGGGGGTTGAAGTCATTATAAAACTATAAATTAATTATAACTGCGGGGCATCACACACATTTGAGTGCATACATGCATACGTGTATATACATACGAACACAATGTGGTGTATAGTTTCGAGTGTTTGTATACGTTTTTAGACGGCCTTGTAAGTTGGTGAATCCGATGACAACAATGCGAATTGGTTTAGAATGAAAAAAGGAAACAAGTATTACAGTTAACACTGACACTGCAGACAAATGATACGAGAGTTGAGTGCATTAAATTGGAATAATCGGTGGCTAATCGCTAACAACGGAGTGAGACTTTGATGAAAAGAGAAAATATACATATGTATGTATATACGTATTTATGTAGATATTTCGTATTTTATTGTTGTTTGCCAACCGTTGGCTAACTTACTTGTATTCGTGCCTCATTGAGTTTCGTCGTTCGGGCCAACTCCTCTCTGCAGTAGATGTCTGGGTAATGAGATTTCGCGAATGCTGCCTCCAACTCAGCAAGTTGCTCCTAAAATAAATAATTCATACGGATATAAAGCTGTATTTACTTAGTACGGAAAAGTGCATTGGAAATTTTCAATTTCAATGTATTTTTTAGAGAATTAAGTAATTTCGGCCGTAATATAAAATACCTTACTACTTAGTAATGGATGGATGGAACTCAACATTAGAATGGACGGTGATAAGATTTTCCACTATTTTTAAAAGTAGCCACCGTGTCTTTAAACAATTTTAAATTTATTAGTCAGTTCTATCGTTTCTCTAAGTTCAGTCAGACTTGGTTTTTCATTTCTACCGTTGCATTCACGTTCAGTTCAATGTTTCGAAAGTAAAAACACTGTCAAGCAGATGGCCTTAGTTGTCTAACTGTGACCGGACTAGAATCATGATAGCAGTTGACTAAAGGAGATGCATACGTAACTTAGATGTCACATTAGTATGTTGATCTTTGATGTAATTGTAAATTAAATTTTTGCACTTTAACACTAGTCTAGTAAAAAGTAATCCATTATTTTTGAATTTAATTGAATGATTTATGTGCCATAGTTAAAATTATACGATTTATGTCAAATATGTACCGTTTTGATCTTTAAATTTTTGGCCACTTGAAAAGTAATGTAATTTTGCCTCTCTTGTAGAAACCCTTGTCCCTATTAACATAAAATTAACCAGCCAAATCATTCGTCATTGAAAGGAACAGATGATAATCACTTGAGGCGAGGTCCGCACAATGAGGTGGATGCATAAGAACCTCCCAACCAAGCTCTCGGGACTTCCGGCGAGTCATAATCGATGTGTTTGGTCTAGCGTTGTCCTGATGAAACTAAATTCCCCTTCGGTTGGACAAAGCTGGGCGCTTTTGCGCGATTATTTCCTTTCGGCGGTCCAATTGCTGTCAGTAAGGGTGAGAATTAAGAGTTTTGCCACAGAAGAGCAGCTGGAAGTGGATAATTATTTGTCAATCATATCAAACACACCATGAATTCTTCCTAGCCAACAGAACTGGTGTGAAGAGTGTTTGTGCCTCACGATCACGCCCGATTTGTTTGATGCTGCTGTAAATGATACACTTTGAATCACCAGTCACCATCCCCTTCAGTAGTGATACGCAAATGGAAGTTCGGTTCATGAGGTTCTCTCTCGTTATCTCAAGCGACGTCCATAGCTTTTTTGGGTATCCAGCCTCTTTCAAGTGGTTCCAAACTTCTGGACTCGACGAATTCCATTACTTCACCGACATTTTCGACAATTGGCCTTCAGCACCGTGGATCATCATTTAGACCCAACCTGCTAAATCGAAATCGGCGAAACCAAAATTGTGCAAGATTGATGAATTTTCTCTTCGCTGGTGTCCATCTCTGACATGCGCTCAAACTCTACTGAGTTAAGTGATTAACACTTCTCCCATTATTACTTTAGAACAAAATATCATCTTTCTAACGCCTTCTAGCATAATCCAATCGCACTAATAATTCATCTATTGCAAAAATAAATTACTTTTTACTAGACCTATATTTTATGTAGTTGTTGTTTGAAAGCTTTCAATTTCAAACTGATTGGGTTGGACCTCAAGAATGTTTATTCTTCTTAATACCAACGTTCACGGTCAGTATGTGGCTGCTCAATGTAAATAAATTTTTACCGGTTTCGAAACATAATATCTATACAGCTCATTTTGAGATTTTACTGACATTCTTATTGCGGGAAAATGTAAGTATAAGAGAGTAGGGAGAAAATTGTGAGAAGCCTCTCTTCATCTTCTTTGGCGTGGACGTCGCTTGTGCGATTGTAGCTGGAGGGTTTTCATTCAGGTGACATGATGTAGCCGGCGCTGTTTTTTCATTCAGTGAACTAGAAAATCCGTACAACTCGTACGGCTCATCGTTCCAACGCCTGCGCTGTTTCGCAGTTGCTAATGCGCCAATGACCATAAATCGTTTGCAAAATTTTTCTCTCGGAAAACTACCAGTCCCAACTCATCAGATGTCGAAATTGTTCACACTTCTGGATCATATAGTAGTACGGTGGGGATGATGCAGTCGTACTTATAGAGTTTGGTTGTTATTCGTAGGGAGAGGACATTACTTTTCAATTGCCTCCTCAGCTGAAAGTAGCATCTGATGGCAAGAGTGATATTATTGTTGTTGATCCTGGTTCTTAAACATCTAAAGCCTCGAGGCTATGACTGCTAATAGTGAGAAGCCAACCCATAACCGCGCCGAAAGTTTGTTTGATAACAGGAGACATTCAAAATGATTGTGATATATCATTTGCTGGGAAGAACCTCTAAATTGTATAGAAACTAAGAGCATTTTTTTCGAAATAGACTGATAAGTTCAATCCAAACAGTTGGATTCGGTCATATGTGGCTTTAATTTAATTTAATTTTGTGTTCACCCTTTTCTCGAGAATTAATATATATCGCTCCTTAACAGGAAGTTCCAACATTTCCGAGGGAATTCAATATGAAAAATAGTTTCCCCAAAAAATTTATTAGTAGTTTGTGCTGCAAATTAGATCTTGGAAGGATTTTTGGGATTGATGGTTGAAGACTCATTGTACTGTCCACATTTATGCAATTCCTAGCACTTCGCACAATTTGAAGAATCTTCCAATCATGTATTCCTATCTCTGTATGGGATGGGATTAGTTTCATCGTGGAAGATATGAAATATCAATCGGCTCTAGATTGGATATATATGATGATAGTTCTCTAACGTTTAGCTATTTCCAGTACATGCTCTGTATTCAGTCGAGTTATCTTCATCTACTTTGTGGAATTGAAATAATGGATGATATTCCAGCGATACAACCACCATAATACTAATTTTTGTGTTTCTTAATTTTAGTAATAGTTTGATCTGTCTGCAATCTCCGCTGCAGCACAATAATTTAGCGGCCCATGACCTTAGATGCTGATCCATGATCCACTCATTTATATAATAAGCCGCTGAAGAGTCTGAGGCAGTTTATACTAACACTCACTGTTTGGCACCTTTGGTAATACCTCCAATCTCTGCTAGGAAGCCAAAGCAGTAGTTTGAAGTTTGAAGCTATCTTCGTTATGGGGCGGCCACGAAAAGCCCTGCATCTATGCCTGTATTTTATTTTGATCTATCAGGATTGATATAAACATTTTCATTACCGTTAGTGAAATGAAAATTTATCCAAACAAAGCTAAGATAAATAGCTTAGTGTTAATGTAGGCAAAGATGTATTTATGTTCGAAATAGTAAGTAAGTTGAACCAAAACTAAGACTTTTTCAAATCGATCACTCGCTCAAAAATATGGTTCTTCAGATAGATGAGTCTCGGTCCATACATCGACATAGGCAAAGAGCGACGAGCATTCTCTTGTCACATACTTGTTGTACATGTCAAGCAGAGCATTCCGAAGCAATACTTTTTTTATAAATATCAACCTGTTATCCTCTTTGAGAAATAAACAAAGCAGCAAAATTACTCCTAAAACCAAACGCTGGATTCTTCTAGTCTGTTATATATTTTGTATTTAGTATTATTTATATTTATGTATATTTGTAGATATGCATATAGTAACGATTCATATGCATTCGTGTGCATACATTCATCTAGAGACATCCTGGGTATTAATTTTACAATCTATTTGTTTAATTATTATATATGTATATGCTAATGTATTTATATAACTGACCTGTGTAAACGTTGTCCGATGTCTTCGTCTCGCAGGAGTTGGACAGGATGCTGTGGTTGGTGTATGGCCGGCATGTTGACTTAACGAAGATAACCCATTTCCGGGCGATGTTACACCGCCGGAAACCGACGAGAGGCCCGTATTAGGTTCTGGCTTCAGCTTTTTAAATGCACCTTCCGCTACAAAATTCAAATTCAAAGCAAAGCAGTTAAATGCGTGAAGTACATACATATATTAATATTTTAATGGGCTTGTAATCTCTGTACAAAAATATAGTCTTTTCAAATGTACATTTATAGTATGTGTTAGCATAAAAATAATTATAAACTTTTATAATATTAGACACATCAAACTTTGACTGATTAACAGTGGTAAATTTATCTATATATCTATTTATATACATATACATATGTAGATATATATAAAGAAATAAAAATTCTTTATAAAATCTATCAACTGTTCGGAGGCGCAAAAGCCACAAGTTAGAAGAGGAGCTCGGCCGAAAATCTCTTCAGCGGTTACAAAGGGCCAATTATATATAAAGCGTTTTTGTAAAAAACAACACTATTTGTTAAGGAAATTCAAATGCTTTTCATTCAATGTGAAGTGAAATCGATACAATTAAGTTCTGAATAAAACATCATTCAAATGGCCTCCACAACTTCTTTAGCAGGAACGAATTCGATGAACCCAATTTTCGCGCATTTTATCCACTAAATCAAGTCGTATGTCGTGAATTTCATGCTCAATATTGAATTTTTAAGCGTGAAGAGGTTCTGGTTTATTGCTAAAGACCAATGACTTCAAATAATCCTACAAGAAGTAGTCTAATGGTGTTAAATCACAACTTCTTGGGTGCCCTTAATGTCACAACTTCTTCACATAATCGAATCTCCAAACCTTTTTTGCGATAATTCGGTTGTTGTACGTGCTGTGCGACGCATAGCCCCGACTTGTTGCAACCAAATGTTGGTAAAATCGACTTCTACCAATTGTAGCCATAAAAATTTGGTCATCAACGATCTATACTGCTCTCTCTTAACAGTAACGGTGCTTCCAGCTTTATTTCGAAAGAAGTGCGGACCGATGATTCCAAGATAGATGAATGCAATGGTTGTTCATGCATAATTTACTTCGCACCATACTCGACAGTTTTGTTTATTTATTGCACCACTCAGATAAAAGTCTTAACGGAGAAGAAGATTGTCTTAAAAGCATCGTTATCGTTTTCAAGTTGTTATTGTTGAATACAATAAAAAAATCGAATGACCTATTATAAATATCCAAACGGCGCTTAGAAAACCCTTTATTATTATTATTAATACTGACATTGTTAGCTTGGAAATCCAGCACAGAATCACTTTTGGCAACAGCTGCTACTTTGGGCTGAGTAGCAAATTGAAAAGTAAAGTCCTCTCATCGTTCCCCTCTTGCTATAGGGTGTGGATGCTTGTACAATAACAACATCGCATGAGTCGGCGTTAGAAGCTTTCAAGATTTATGGGCCTCTACGAGTTGGGAACTGCGAATACCGCAGCCGATAGAACGTTGAACTGTATGAGTTATACTGAGGCATTGACCTATGTAATTCAGTGAATCAAAATACAACGGTTACGCTGGCTAGGTCATATGTTCCGAAAAAGAAGACAAATCTGGTTGCACTAGGTATTTTCAATCGGCGCCAAATAGCGAAAAGAAGGAATGAATGGCGCAATGTTGCTAACTTGTGCTATAACCACGTAAGCGGTGTCTACCCCAGTAAAGAAGAAGAATAATATATATATGTATAGCATAAGCACGCGCAATTGCCGCATTGCACCGTTAATCTTCTGTACATACATCGACATATACATATACAGGTATACATATACGAGTATAATAAAATGGAGGCACCTTTAAAAGAGTATTTCAAATGCCGGCAAATTATTATTCAAATAACGTTTAAGCGGCCGCCAAACACTGACCCTAAAATTATGAATAATTAGACTAACCAAACTGCGGCCACAAAGTACGCCAAAAAGTCAAAGACGTTTCTTACATACAATGCAAGTAGTATATGAATATATATGTACATATATATATGCAAGTAAATCTATATATTCGCATGCGCAAGATAATAATGTTTTTGGAAGTGAGATGCAAATTACATATATACATACATACAAACAGTAAAAAACACTGGTATTTGCATACGTATACGAACCTTTTCATAATGAAAATGAAGCTGAAAACGTAAAAGCTAAACTCAGGTGGTCGGACTATCAACGTGACGAGCTAATGGTCATATGAATATTCAACATTGGGATAATTTATGCAAATTTTATATTAATAGAGGTGAAATTTCACGAAGTTAAAGCTCATTCTAAGCTATCTATGTGCTTACTGAAATGCTTGTCAGCTGTCTGTCTCTGTCTGTGCCAGCAACTAAAGAGCGGCAAATTTTACAATTACACATTTAATTCAAAATACGCTCCAAAAGCAGGATAAACATTACTTTCATCAATTGAATTAACTAAACAAACAATTACGTGATACAGGATTTCCACTTATAAGATATGTTTGATATTTTAACTCTTTTACATTATATAATATAATTGGCGCTTTGTAGCCGCTGAGACGTTTTTTGGCCGAGGTTCTCTTCCAATTTGTTGTGATCGTCTTTTTTTTTCTCAAAGAAATGATGGAACAGACAATTTAATCTGGATATAATACAAAGATTCCAGCCGAAAATTGATTTTCTATAATTTTTCATGAAGGATCAGGACTCCAACCCTTCACTTTCTAATGGTACACAGTGCTACACATTCGCCTATTCATATTTTATTTTCATGCAGGGCGCTGTATTAGTACGTAAACAATAAACAAACCACCAACACACGAGTACAGCTATCTTAAAATTTAAATTCTTTCCGACCAGCAAACAAAAATTCAGTAACATTGTATTCGATATTTATGTATAGAGCAATCGTATTTGTTCTAAAATAATTTAATTAGTTCCTGTTTTAAAGAAAACTTAGAAGTAGAAGGCCGATTGCTTTGTTCGAGCAGATGCAATAAGGATCTCATTATACACATAGTCAGTACCAATAAGTAGTGTTTCAAAATATGTAGATTGTTTCCACTCATAATCATAGGATCTCCTGTTATCTCACTGCTTACAAGAAAGAGTGCAATCTTAACCACGGTAAACTTTGGAAACGATGCGGGCATACCTCTTTTCTCTGCAAAATACCTGCTAAGATCGGCCGGCACCAGCAAGGCCAACAGCAGATGGCAGGGTGAAACCACATGCAATGGGACTCTTGGTAGAAGAGGATTTATTACTTTTCTAATCATCATTTGATCGACTCTGCAGAGACATATACGAGGAAGAGTCGGTGGAGTGATACCCGACACGCTTTCTAGGTAAATCCTACTACTTTAACAGTCTTGCAGATATTGCATCAGAAAGTGTTGGTGTTTCATTAAATAAACCAAGTGGTACTAGAAAGGGAAAGGAATCTCTTCTATAGACTCCCCCCCATAGGTATCAAAACGGACCTGAGTGTGGTCGATCAAGGGATCCCGTGATAGAGTAACAAATTTTTTTGCGCACCGTCTATCATTTCGATGTGGATATTCTTCTTTTTTTTACAAACTGGCAAATGTAATTTGACATGGTGGAAAAAGCAGTGCTGCCAATGTTTTGTGAAACAATGTGACCTAGGCGCTAGAATGCCAAATTTAATTTCGGATGTTAAAAAGTAACAAATTTTACTTTACCGGTAACAGTGAGAATAGGCCTGTAAGTAGTAAAGACTATACTCAATTAAGTAAAATTTGTAATTATTATTGTTATTTTAACGGACACTTCGATACATTCTAGTACCGTTTACTTTACTTTTCAAGCCCGTTCAATCGGAAAAAAGTTCCTTATTGGATCAGGTTTGACTGAAATACATTGAGCAATTTGCTAGATTAAAGTTGTTAGAAAACACGACCAAAACGGCTCCAAACATAGAAGAAATAATTGGTGAAAATAACTTCCCAAATTAACTTTTGGGAGATTGATTGCTTTTTGTTGGCTTTAAGGTGAAACTGCCGAAAAACAATTGCGGGACTTCCATCGCGTTTCGCTTATAGCATATGTTAAAGCTTTGAAAATTAAGGCAGTTCTTATCTTAGGTATATTCTTCCGCTCGAAAAACTTAGCAAAGTAATATAAATTTTGAAGAAATACAGTATTTAATATATGTATTTGAAATTATAAAATTATGCTACATTAAAATTATTATTCGTAGTATTGGAGTAAGTTTAAAATGTTTGAGTGTATACGAATATAGTAGAAAGAATGAATCCAATAATTCACAAATTAGTTGCTCTGACACCAACAAATTTTGGGACTTTTGAACTTTTGAAGATGACACCGCTCCGCATCAGTCACTTCAAAGTCGGCTTATTTTTAGATCTAAAATTTTCGCCATTGAGAAACAGACGACTTGAGTTCTCAGGTAAATCACAATCTACAAGTAAAAGCGAGATTTCCCAAGTTAAGATACTCCCCAGTGTACTGAGAAATAGCATGCTAATTTTAAGATCGTGTTGAAAAACCTCTGGCCATTTAATTCACAGTAGTATGTATACTTTAAATCATTGATTCGACTTGGATATTTTGGGAACCTTATATTAGAATCATATTTTTTCAAGATGCAAAATTTGCAAAATTTTTTAGCTTTAGAAAAATCAACATTTTTTGTTACGTTTAGTATGGAATGACCGTATATGAGAACGACAAAAAACATTTAAAATTAAACAAACTTTAGAAAAAGTGGATTATTAAACTGTCACCTTGAAAATGTACTCATGACTAGTACGCCAGTAGTAGTAGTTGTTAAATTATTTTGAGTGTGTGCTACAATATTTATTATATTTGGATTAACCTCACTATTCCGTTCCATTAACTAATTTGCACAGCGTATGCAAATCTCAACTTAAGATCCCACGTTCAGATCTTAGTTACATTATTATTGATACCAAGTAAAATTTTCAGATTTAATATATCGACAAGTCTAAAATATTTTGTTTCAAAAATTTAAAATTAATATCTACTGTTTACAAGAAGAAGAACATAAAAAATACTCTTAACAGTATTACGAAGGTAAAACAAATATTTAATCCTCAAATGTTCCAGCGTAGTCGT